CGTTAAATATACAAAACACGATTCTCTTAAATTTTCAAAAAAAAAAAAAGAAATAAATAAACGAAAAAAGGAAGACCTGAGCGACACAATCTAAATTTATCCAACCTGAACTGAATATTTTTTGTTATCACATATATGTAGCTGTGCACTTATGATTTCGTATATTAATTGAACATAATATAAATTTGGATATTTTCAAGCAAACACATATATTGTGTATTTATTATTAATAATATAGGCTTAAAAGATATTATTAAAATAAATTCGATATTAAAAAATAAGTGAAAATATTTTAATTCTGAAGTCGTACAACAAGGCATAAACATTTTATCTGATGATATATGATGTAGTAAAATCTCCTGACAACTTAAGTCCAAGAAAATAAAAGATTTTAGATATAAAGTTTACTGAATATTACATTGCTGACCTAATCATGTCTCAGTTTTCTAGCAAATCGTAATCTACTTTATTTTGACTTTGCTATTGTATTGGAACAACAAAATTGGAAAATAAAAATATAGCTAAGTTTGGCTACAATTATTACTGCAACACAAAAACAAATCGAATTCAGAACACAAGAATAACATTACATAAACCAAGATTATTTACAAATCTAAGAACTTTGAATTATTAAAATTATTTATATTGATTAATAATTTAACTCGATTTTACTTAAATAAATTTGGTGGAAAAACTGTATTGGCAGTGCCATTAGTTTTTAATTTTAATTTGATTATGCCATTTAATAATATTTTTGAATTCAATTAAAAAGAAATACATGTACCTATAAAAAAAAACGATTGCTCAGAACGATAGCTACAGGATTTGTTTCATTAGTGTAGTGTTGTTTTTCCAAAACCAAAATAAGGGTACAATTGAAAGTTACCCATATAAGAATTTATGCATAATTCGTTAGAGTTATCAACGCCAAATTAACTCTTTTTGCTTTATTATTTCTCTATAGCGCCATTAACTTCCAAAAAATCGTAATAGTTATTAATCTGATGATATAGTTATAGCAATGTTGGTGAGTAACTACAAAATTTCAAACTCATAAATTGACTATCATGATCGTGCTATTTGAAACCTTTTCTTTTTATTAACATCAATACTCGGCATCCAGTGCAGCTTGTTAAGAAAAGTATTGAACGTGTAATTATTGATATTCCAAAAGTCAATGAAAAAGTTGTTCAAAGCGGATTCCATGTATGACACAAAATATCTTCATTTTCCTTAACTCCAGGATCTTTTTTTTAAAAATCAGCTACAACTTCATAAATAATCCAAGATCTACTGCCAATCATTTTTTTAAAATTAAAATTCCACTCCAATAAAAACGCATAATATAATCTTGAAAATTTCATATTTTTCACCTAAAAAAAAAAACAAAACAAAAATAAGTATAAAATGTTAGTTGATTAGCTCATTATAAAATTTAAAAGTGCATGAATGCAAACTATACTCGAATTAACTGGATTTCGTACACCTTTGTTTATTTATAACTTTCATAAAATTGCCAGTTCCTAAATCTTAAGTATATAGGTGATTCTTTTTGTTTTTTGCGAATCAAATACATTATATTTAAACACATAGTTACCCACCAGCCAAAGTATATGTAAATACAGTGATTATCACATTTATCAAAGTATACGATAAAAATCTCAAACCTTATTATTCCTTTCAATTCTGATTTTGTTTCTTCTTATTTTCTTCTTAATTTAAATCACACACATTATAAAAAAAACCAACTGGAAGTTGATGTTAAAGTAACAAGTGATATATTTTCAGAACACGCAACTCAATTCATTTAAATAACGTGACCCTATACAAAATATTTATAGTCAGGTGTGCAGAGTTCTGTGTGCATTATAATATTTTTTAGGGCAAGAAAAAAAAAACTTGCAAAACCTCTTAATATTTTTGTTTTTTTTTTTTGTCTTAACAACTTCTGTTTTTATAAAAATGAAGATTAAATTCATAAAAAGTGGAAGAAGATTGAAGGAAGACGGTAATATTTTCCAAAAAAAAAATATTTAAATTAAATGTTAATCAAAATTATATAAAAGAAAGCGGTTCAAGTCTTTTTCTCGTTAATTTCCTCGCACTTATCTAAAGGTGTTCAAAATTATATTCAATATTATATGAGTTTATTTGGAATTCTTTTTGGGATTTAAACTAAAATTTTTATGCAACAAAAAGAAAAAAACCTGGACCATATGTAATAATTTTAACTTTTATTGCAAATTTAATATTTGAAGCCCATTAACAACTGGTGGTTGGTTTCTCTGTTCTTGCAAATTTAATTTTTGAAGAATATACTTCAAATTATTCAAATATTTGCGTGTTGGCCTCGTATTCATATATTCGAATTTAAATTATTAAATGCATTTAGAAGAATAAAGTGGTAAATTTAATTTTTAAATAAAATAAATGTTTCTAGAGTGGTCATTATTTTCGTTAACACCATTATTGTAAAATGGTATTAAAACCAACATGTTATCGCGTATTAAATTTTAAATTCAGAGGTGTTTTTTTAAAGGTTTTAACAATGTTTATAATGATAGATGGCGAATATAGATGGCGCCCAAAATTAAAAATATTTTTTTTTAAATCCTTTAAAATTTTAATTCTACGGAATAAGATTGAGTGAGTGCCTTTGTTATTTAATCTGTTTTTATTTTTATAGGTTGTCTTGCCTTTTGTTTCTATTTCTTCCGAATTCAATCAATATTTTTTTAATAAGACAATGCCAATATAATGGATATTATACCGTATTACAATCCTATATAAGGTTCTTTCTTAAAAGAAATTCAGACTGATAATAATTAATAGTTGTATAGAGTGTGTGGTTGCTTTATAAGAGAATTTTTGTTTTATTAAATAAATTTATGAAGATTGCGTTTTTGGTTCTTTGATTTTGTTCTTTTTTAATTTTCATCATCTTTGGAAGCTAATCAAAGATTAAAATATTTTTTCTTTTGATGGTATTTAAATTTTTTTTTATATAATTTATTTAATGGTATCCTTGTATATTTTTTTTTTCATATTTCATTTTGGTTTTTTATTATAAAAAATTATGAAGCAATTCAAAGCAAAAAGAGGAGCTTTTTTAATATTATAAAAAAACGACAGAAGAACAGAAGCAGAGGAATAAAAAAATTAATTTCTTTTGATACTCTAATTAACTGAAAAGCAAAAAAGAAAAGAAAAAAAAAAGGAATGTAAAAACCAAGAACAAAAAAATTGTTATTTTTTTTTCAATTCAACTTTAATTAAAAATACTTAATTCATAAATATTCGTACAAACGAAAGAAGAGTTTAAAAACTTTTTAAATTTAAGTTAAGAAATTAAAAACAGAAAGAAAAAACATTAATATGACGCGTTTTTTTCATTTTGTTTGTGGTGAAAAAAATTCTTTAATATTAAAAAATTTTCATTTAATCAAATATTCATTATTATTAACTTTAATTTAATAATTAAAAAACAAGAATTACTGAAATATTTTTAATGATATTCAGTATAATGCATTTTTTCGCCCTTATGTTCTTTTATTTAAAAAATTAAGTGTAAGAAATTTAAAATTTTCAGAAATTTTGAGCATATTTCATTAGAAAAATCCAAAATTTTCTTAAATCTTAATCTCTTCTTAAATCTATAATAGAAGAAACTTAAAAAGAAATCTTATTTTATTTATGCAACACAATATAATGCAAGACAACATCTTTTCTAAAGCTCTATGCGATTGTATAAGTTTCACTAGAAAATTAAAATTCATTTGTTTTCGAGTTAGGATTTTAGGAATATATAGAATAGCAAATAAACTAAGATTTTCGTAACCTTAAATTCTAAAACGTGCCCTTCAAAAGTATCAAATTTAAATGAAGGCCCCAAATAATATGATAATGATAACTGTTCGAGAATATTTCTCAAGATCAAGATTTCTCAATAAGATCTGTTTGAGATGTCAATCATGTTCATGATAAAATTCTTGGCCATTTAATATTTCTTTAAAAAAGAGTTTATTAAACTCAAATAATAAAATAAAATGGAATAATAAAAGAAATATTCTCTTAAAATCTTCATTCTTGTCTTTCTAAGTACATTCAAAGGAAACCACAAAATATTATTCCAAAAAAAATTTTCCTAAATTAAAATTGAATTTCAGTTCATTTTTCTTTTCATTAATTTTATTAAGTCTTTATATTGCACTTAGTAACTTCATTTTAATCCTGTAGTCAGACGAGAACTAAAAAAATAAAAAGGATATTTATCAACATGTTATATGTACATACTCGTATATTAATTTTCTTGTCTGGTATTAAAATTTGATTGTAATGTATAAGTAATTTAACAAATTTGTACCTGTTCAACTACAAAAGAGCAGAAAATCAAAATCAAGAAAAACTATACGTACATGCTTATGAATTCAAGAGCACAGCAGAATGTCTCTACTATTCTTTTGTTCTCGTTTTTCTAGTTTACCAAAAAATTAACGAGAAAACGTTGTCTTATTAAAAACAAAAAATAGAAATAACAAGATGTTTTTCACATTTGTTTTTTTTTTCTTCTCAATTATTTTTTTGTTAATCTTCAGAAAGACATCATTTTAAACTTTGATTGGGGAAGCAAATCTAAGCAACAGAATATCAGAAAGGATCACAACAACTAACGAGACTGAAAAGAAAATCATCAATTTTAACATCTGCTATTTTCGTTTTTTTTTATTGTTTATTTTTGCATTTTTAAATAATTTTCCACTTAAATATACACGAATAATGTACTTTAACTACTAGTTTTTTTTTTTATTGTATATAAGAAAATAAGTAAGAAGGAAAATTTTTCAAATATTTTTCTATTTTTCGAACATTTTCTCGAAATCTGTCTGGTGTCTGAACAAAAAAAAATCAAAATAAAAAAAAAACTTCATCACCTTTTAACAAAAGATTTTCTAATATAACAACTACATATATTTTTATTTTTCTTTTCTATTTTCAGGACATTTTCCACAATTTACCATTCATCGACATTAACATCAGATGGTTTGTATTCAACAGAACATTATTCTTTTTATTGAAAAGACTGAACTTTGAACAAAAAATCAATGATATAAAGAAGAGTGAGTAGGAGAAAGAACAAGGAGTAAGGAAGTCCTAACTTCTAAAACGTATCAAAATTTGTAATTTAACAAAAAAGAAAAAAAAATAAGAAAATATTAGAAAAACAGTAAAATTCAATTTATTTTTGAAATTTTTCAAAATGCATCGACAACAACATTTTATTTGCATCATCAAACATCGTCATCATCATCAACTTACAATGTTCACACTATACTAGAGACATTTTTGAAAAATTTTATCTGCTCTTATATATTTAAAGGGAAATATATATATACATATGTATATATATAAAGGAAAATAGAAATCTCAATAGTGCATAAGAAAATAGCAAAAACAAAACAAAAATTTTACATAACCAAAGTCTCGAATTTTTTGTTTTTTTCTCAACTTGATTTCGTTTTTTTTTTTTTTAAATAAATACTGAAACGGGAAGTAAAAATAAGCGTAAAACAACTTCCTTTAAGGATAATAACAAAAAATACAATTTTTTTTTTAAATTAAAGATGTAGTGTGAGTATAAAAAATAAGAAATCAAGGATAAAGGAAAAATTTTTAACAAAAAATTATGTTTTTTAAGGACAAGCAAACTAAGCAAGGAATTTTTTTTAATGTTTTTTTTTTCAAAAGAACTACATTTAAGAATACAATTTTGTTAAAAAGAAAAATCTAATGTGAGGTCAGGTCCATAGCTAGTCGCATAACGTGTGTTTTCTGGCACAATGTTTAGAAAATGTCTTTCTTTAAGGTTATTTAAAATTTTTACTAAAGCACGAGTAACCTTTGTTTCCAAAATGTATATAGTTCCTGATAGAGTTCTAAGCTAAATAGGTTCAACTTATGGAATCCAATTTTTCTGAAAAGTTCGTTAGCATTATTGAGTCCGAATAGAACTCAAAAAATTAATTTTCAAAAAATTCCTTTGAAATTAATAAAAAAGGCCCTTAATAAAATACAAGTACAGAAACAAGACGACATTGCACTAAAATCTATGGAGAAACGCATTTTCTAAAATAAAATTGTTGGGATTATGATACCTTGCTTTCTGCATACAAAAAGTCGATAAAAATCTATAAACAAAAATAAATAAAAAAAAAATAGGAAATATTACATTATACAATCATTAAACGAAAAAAGATCAATGATCCTTATAGGATGGTGTAAGAAAATAAATAGAAAGCAGAATAAAAAACAAAAAATAGCATAAACATTCTCGTTTATTTTGAACCTCTAAGGTCATCTTTATTTCATACTCATATTTTAAACCATACAAACACATTTTGAAGCTTGGCATTATTAAAGTTCAACTGTACAGAAATCTATAAGGACCTTTTTATATAAAAATTTTTATATTTATTACATATATATATATACATTTTTATTATCCTTGTTTATTTATTTTTCTGTCTTCGGTACATGAAAAAAAGTTCAAAACTTCAAAAATTTGTTTGACCATAATAGTTAAGCCGAGTGAAAAATTGTTATATAAAAATTTATTTTACTTCTTCTTCTTGTTTTCTTGATGTCAAAGTATACAATAATTTTCAAATGTTTTTAAAACTTACATTTTATAATATAATTTCTATCGCTATATTGCTACTATACTACCATGATACTTTCATAAAAATGCAGCAATATCCATTAAAAAATTATGTATTAGTAGCATTACAGTTTTTATGTACTAAAGTTCATAGTTATATTGTATTAAATGCAATTTGTCGAAGAAAATGTTCAAGGATATTTTTCATGTAAGAAGACATGTAAAACAAAAAAGTGTACATTCAAGGCAACAGAAAAATTAAAAAAGAAAAAAGTTGAACTTATATGATTGAATATCGTTTTTAAGACGATTACAGAAGACCTTGTTCAAAATCGAAATTTTAAGAAAAAAATTAAAATAACTTTTTGAAACGTATAAGGAGAACCAAAATCTTAAAATATTATTGAATCCTTTAGAGAGGATATATGAGAGAATATTATAGTAGGGAAGAAAACAAGAACAAAAATACAACAAAATTTTTTTTTTATAAATTGTATGTCAGGATAAATTACAATCCAATGATAAAATATGTAGTGTATACCAGAAAAAAAAGGATAAATTGAAGTAATTTACAGTGCATAAGAATACTTGAACACAAAAAAATATATAAGAAATATTTTATTTATGGTGCACACTTTGGACAAACCACAAATTGGTTTTTTTTTTATATAAAGATAAAAAACCCAACCACATACTCACATTTAAAAAAAATATTCTCATATATTATTTTTTATCCTTAAATAATAATGTTTTTCTTTCTCTCGTTTTTATTTAAACTAGAATATCCTTGAAGTTTTGTTTTTGTTTTTCCTGCAATAAAAGAGAAAAGTTAAAGATGAATTAGATAAAAAAAAAACTAAAATAAAATTAAAAAAATAAAACAAAAATATAAAAAAGCAAAAAGTTTTAAAAAAAAAAATTTTATCCTTGAAAATAAAAACTTAAAAAAAAAAATTAAAGGATAATATGTTTTTCTTTTATTCATTTCTTCTATTCAATTTATATTTGCCATAGATAGCATTTTATAAAATAATAATGAAATGGTCTAAATATTCAAGGATCAAAAAATGGAGAATTGTATTGAATTAGAAATGTATAAAAAATGTCAGTTTATTGAAATTTATAAAAAGAAAATAAGAAAATAATAAATTAAAAGTAAAACAAGGATTCGGAAGAAAAATAATTTTAAATTTTCTTAATTTAAAGAGGGAATTATAAAATTGCAGATAAACGAGTGCATAAATATTGATTTTTGTTTTTTAATATTAATTAAAAAGGATCATTGTAACAAGAACAAAGAGATCCCGTGGTTTGTTTTTTTGTCGGTAACGTGGAAATTTTCGCGAACTTGTTAATATTTTAATTTAAAAAACAAAATTACAAAAAATAAAACGAAAAGAAAAAATTATTTCCCAACCTGGTTTTTAATGATTTCTATTAAATTTATGGTGCTCATCTAATTTTTGTTCAAATTTCAATTCAAGTGATGGTTTATAACATTAGAACCTAAAAAATACAAGAAAATTTATTAAATTTTTTTAGTTTCAACTATAAAATATAATTACATTTAAATGATACAATAAATTTTATTATTGAATTGATTTCCATATAAAATTTAAATAAATTGTAAACAAACTGAAAATTTAAAATAAAAATTAATTTTATATGAAATGTGCCATTTATATTGGGTATTACTATGACAAAAAAAAAATTTTAAAATAAAATTATTTTCAAATTGAATATATGAAATTAATAATGTAATTTATTAAATTAATAGTAAACCATAAATTAAGTATTCAAGAAAGCATTAAAGAAATTTCAAAATTTGAAGAAGTGAAAAAATACCAAGCAGCTTAAAGTCACAACTAAGTCAATAAAATTTAAATAAACTAAAATAATACCATAAAATATTGGAAAACAGAGTGCTTATATTACTAATAATAAATTTAGAATTAATAATCGAGTATAACATACCTAATATTTTACTATTTCATCGTATTTATTCACAAAAAAAAAAAAACACTGGAAAAATTTATTAAATAACACCACTATATTTACCCTATACTTTAAAGGTAATAAATTGGAGTAATAAATGGGACATGAAACACAATAAAATATAGAAATAAAAAAGAGAAGAAAACACAAAAAAAAAATAAAGGTGAAAATGTCTGAAATACCATTCGAATATTATTTAACAACAAGGAATTCGAATATAATTTCGATGACCTCAACTAATAATAATAATGATAGTTATTTTATTGATAAAATAAAAACAACAGCAGCGGTAACAAAAATAACAACGAATATTACAAATATGATTAATAATTCAATAAATACAAATACAACTATACTTGATAATAAAATGATTAACAATAATGATAATAATAGCACTACTACTACAACTACATATAATGTAAATAATAATGATAATAATTTAACATCAATTTATACAAATAATAATTTAATATTAAATATTAATAAAATAAAATCATTATCAACAAATACAATATTTAATAATACAACAACTACCACCACTATCAATAATATTGCAACTCATAATACACCTTTATTAGATATAAGAAAACAAATCAATAATAATAATAATGATAATAGTTTGGATAATAATAATGAAAAATTTTATATTAATTCATTGGAAACTAAAAAATTTCTAAAAAATAATTATTGTAAATCAAGATTATCAAGAACGATAAATGAATTTCGATGGTGGTGGTATCATCTTCATTACACGAATTATTTTAATAGTAGTTGTAATAATAATAAAAATAATAATAATAATAATAAATATAAATCTGATAGTTATAATAATAAAAATAATAAAAGAAATTTTAATTTAAAATCATCAGGAGGATATAAACAAATTTTTCTGATATTCATAGTTTACTACTTAGTTATGGCATCATCAATAGTTAAAGGTAAGGAATTTTTTTTTTCTCTTTTACTTAAATATTTATTTGTATTTTAAATATATTAATATAGTAATTTTAGTAAGCAAGATTAATTTGAATTTTTACTATTTATAATATTTTACTAATACTAATTTCTGTAAAGAAATGTATGCGAAAACTATAATTAATATTGTTCACATTTAAAATTCATGAAACCAGTTATCAATTTATATAAAAGTTTACTTTGAAATTAATAGAATAAGTGCAAAGAAATCAAGGCAAGTTGCTCAAATTTGAGAGAAAATCGGTTTATCTGCATTAATAATTACATTTTCATTTCAATTAAAATTTAACCTGACAAAATTGTTCAAGCTATCGGAATAATAAACATTTTCGAAAGAAGGAATTCTAATTATTGATTCTGTCGAGAAATACAATAGATTTTTCAGTTTTACTATAATTTGTTTCTCCACATTATTTTTCTCCAACTTACTTTTTCTTATTAAAAAAATATTGTAACATTTTAGGGGACCCCTTATTGTAAATTTTAGAATCCTTATAATTTATAATTTTGATTTTTCAAATAATAATATTGTAAAAATACAAACAAACGTGTAAATAAATTTCGACTTTTCAGATATTTTAGATTTTTACCGACCGTATTGTGTAAACAATAGGTAGGTTATGTGATGGCAACAAATTTTGCATATCGAGTTTTCGGTGGGAACGTACTTCTCCATAGTAGGGAAGTGTAAATAAACTATTTTTAGCAACCTGTCGGTCTGTCGGTCTGTCGGTCTGTCGGTCTGTCCGTCTGTCGGTCTGTGTGTGCACGCGTGTATCTCAAGTTCGGCTGAACCGATTTTGATGAAATTTTATATGTAAGTTTGTTTCCACCATGGCACGGATCGATCAACTTTTGGTATATATCAGGCCTCGGGAACTGCACTTTTTTAGCGGGCCTGTTTTACATTTTTGAACATTTTGAAGAAAATATTCAACCGATTTACTTGAAATTTTATATGTAAGCTCAGCTCGACCGTCCGCAAAAATTCGTATGTTTTGGAAGAAATCAGGCATCGGCAACTAGACGTTTACTACGGGCCAAATATACATTTTTGTGTATATAAAGAGAAATAATCAACCGATTTCATTGAAATTTAATATATGAATTCCTCATATTAAAGCAATGAACATATAACTTTTTTGGAAAGATCAGGGCTCGAGAACTGATTTGCGGGCCGATTTTACATTTTTCACCATATCCACAGAACAAATTGATGGAATTTCTTGAAATTTGATATTTGAGTTCTGGTTGTTACCGAAACTAACTGGCGAGCATTTCAGGGAATTCGGGTAGCACAAAGCGAAACTCTACTAAGAGTCAAATTTACATTTTTCTGGGTATGTTAACTATAAGCTTACTAATGTCCTAAAAATTGGAAAGAAGTATTTAACAGACATTTTTATAATATTCTGTAACACTTTCATTTAACTAGACAAAACACAATGCGGTCGGTTATGTGCTGACCACATCAGATTTTTTTTATTGCTTTGTTATGATTTCAAGACTCTCAAGAAATTTTTAGTATCAACATTACCTCGTATACTAACATAAAGTATTAAAGACCGCGTACTTCTCTCTTTTTTTTGTTTATAAAAATTTATTGTTATTTTGAAAAATTTAAAAGAAAAAAAAACTTAAAGAAAACACATTTTTTTGTTAAGTGTTTTTATAGATGATTGGAATAATTAATGAGGCTCCATTTTGGTATCATTGATTCACCTTTAGGCGAGGATATTTTTTTTTTTTGTAATATTTATTTTATATTGTATATTTTACCTTATATGATGTTAAAACAGAAGTGAACAAGATGATAAGATGTAATACGGCAACCACTTACAAAAAAAAAAAAAATAGTGGAAAGAAGACAAAAAAACGAAAAGTGGTTTATTTTTACCTTATCTGTTAATTTTTTAAGAAAAATAAATGCCTACCACCTTAAGCCTTATTAATTTTTCTTTTTATATTTTGAAGTGCTACTATGTATTTAAAATATATGTGTATATAAGAAGTTGTGATATTATTAATAACTTTACTGATTTTAATTTTAAAATTGATAATAGATAATAAAGATACTTTAGGTTTTTGTAATATTTATATACAAAATGTGTAAACTAAGATTTAATATTAAAATATTTAGAACGACCACATCAAATTAAATACGGAATTAAAAAGTTAGAACTTTAACTTTAAATCATTTATCAGTGTATTTCAATGATAATTATTACAAGTATAGCTTTCTATAATTATTATTAACACAGTTTTGTGGAATAAAGATAGGTTTTAGATTTGCGACATAGGATCTAGAGCTCAGAACAGGATAATGCTACCTAAAAGTAGAGTTTCCTAACTATTTTTAAAATTTTCCAAAAATTTCACTCATTCTTTGTCAGAAATACCAAAAGAAATTTTAATGTTCTTTACTTTTGTTCGGTTGTACATTTTGACATGACAGTCTATCGCAAAAAAAATTATAGTCATAGAATTAACAAATCACTGCTTATAATCCAGTAAAATAAAAGTTAACTCGAATTTTTGATAAAATCCAAACTGGAACTAGTTTAAATAAAATCAAAGACATATTTTGAAACATATTTTAACAGAATTGTACAATTTGTAGTAAATTTTAAATCTAATTTAATTAGATTACAATTTTGGCTAATAAAAATATGTAAAATAATTGAAAATATATTATTTTTAAAATTTATTTTAATTTAAATTGAGTTTCATTGAGTTTTCAAAATGAGTTTAAAAAAAATTTGGAAAATTTTAAAATTCTCAATATAATTAAGTACTTGGTAATCATTTTAGAATCAAAATCACTTATCGACTATTATCAAAAATTCTACATAAAAACTAAATACAGTCTTTTTTTTTTTATAAATTATATGCTTTCAAAATTTAAGTCTTTGGTGTTAAAATTCTCTAATTTTATTATAATAAATTTTACTCAAATTTCAAATTTATTTTTACCACAATACATTTAAATATATATTTTATATACCCATATAATTTTCATTTTTAGATTCCCAAAAAAGAAAAAAAAACAGAATTTACCACATTATATTTTTTTTTTTATTTTTTAAAAACGCATTCAAAAAATACTAACAAATGGATACCATTAGATAACCATTACCATATATAAAAATTATTAATGCATACGATCATTTAATTTTTCTTGGTCTTCTCCTACATCTCACACACAATATAATGTGGAACGTTCCTACATACATACTATGTGTAATCATGTAATTTTTAATGATCCATAAAAAACCGATTTTCTTAAAAAAAAACCAAAATTACATATATTGGTCATATATTTTAAGATATTGTTGGTATACCAATGAAGAAAAAAGTTAAATAAAAAAAAAAACAAATTTCATTTTTAAAGTCTTTTCTTCTTTATCTTGGGTACAAAAAAAAAAAAAAACTACAAAATTCCACGCTCTATTAACATCTTTCAAGTGCCTGCATATTTGAGTATGTACATAAGTTAACCCAGACCAGACCCTAGGAATATCATTTAATAACAAAATTCTATTAAAAAGAAAGAGAAAAAAAAGCAAATAATAAAAAAAAAAAGGATATTAAACAGAATGGTACCCAATTTTGAATGATAATAATTTAAAAAGAAATCGTTACGAAAAAAAAAAACAGAATCCCAGATATTGGTTTTGTCATTTTATGTACTTATAAATTGAAAAGATCTGACTCTAACGCAATTTAGTATCACTATTCTCGATAAAATATATTTGTATCCCAAAAACAGAACAAAATAAAGCAGCTGATATTTTGTTTGAATATAAAATGCAACACGCAGTTAAATTTAAATAAGCAGGTTATTTAATTTTGAGTTGTACTAGTTCTAAAGACCAAATGAATCAATCTTAACGATTCAATAATAATAGATCTAGATAAGTTAATAAACTGATAACATTTTTTTTTTATAAATTCTGAAACAACTTGTTCGATAGTGAATTAAAAATAGGTACGTCTTACTAGAATTAAGCGCGTGAAGCTTATATTTGTAATTTCATGATTGTATTTTGCAAATACTATAGATGTATAAATAAATTTTCTTAAGAAAAAATTTAAAAATAAGATTTTTCTACATATTGAAATGTAACTAAATGTTTTGAAATTCAGAATATGAGCAATCCTAAGTGTTTCCATTAAGGAGTTATAAACTTTACGAAGCATATAAGTAGTTGGTATTTTGTAAATGGAATTCAATTTTGTATGGTAATTCTATTATAAAAGATTACAAAATAATTTATAAATTTTGGTAAATAGAATTTGATATTTATCTTCTACATCAAAACAATCTCCCGCAATATACTTGCGTAACTACTCCCCTAAATTACTACACTTTTACACAGTTTTATATAAAGTTCGGATTTTTATACACTAAAAGTTAAATTCGAAATTTTTTCGAATTTTTCGATCTGCTATTACGCTTACTTATTACGTTTAATATTACATTCTGCTGTTCTTCAATTAAGTAGCTACGCTTAATAGAAAATTGTAATCAAAACCGAATAGAAGCCCTATCATCTTATAAAAATCCTTTCGAATCTAAACTTAATGTCAAATATTTAAACAAACATTTGTACATATAATATAGTAAGTACATTTGCTACTCATGTATTGGACGTTAACTTACAAGCGGTTTTTTTCTTTGAATATAACATATTTGCTTTTTCTTCAAATTCAATTTATGGTTTTAGAAAGAAATAACAAAAAGGAATCAAAACAAAACAAAAAGAATCAATAATTTTCCACTAAAAATAAAAAGATATTTCAATTTCTTTGTTGATATTCTCCAGTTGTTTAAATTTTAAAACTCTTTTGTGGCACATTTTTTCAATTTTTTAATATTTAGATTAATGTCTTCCTTTAGCCAAAATGATAGTTTTTAATACTTGGGATTTATAAGTGAAAATTATTGTATAGTAAATGGAGA